GCCATTTCCTGCGGAAGCTCCGTCCTACTTACTTGGTCATCGGAACGAACCCTGTGCTGATTTGGAGACCTGTCATTACATGTAGATGCATCTCACTGTCCGGCCAGTTCGGCAGGCGTTAATGCCAGCGGTCGCAAGCGAAACCTAAGCACACAGGGTCAGGTCTCGAGTTCAACATCGAAAATGGATGCTGGAAGCGTGACACATGTCTGATTTGGTGCCATGAGGCTTCCAGAGTGGTGTCTTCAGCTGCTGCCTGCTGGAAAACCTGTAGCGCCTTCTCCCATTGGCTGGCTCTGTCACAGGCAGAGATGACGGCGCACACTGCAGGTCCAGCAAGTTGTAGCTCTTCTTGGGCAAGTGTCTCCTGCAACAAGCTTATCGACCGCTGCCACATGCTGGCATCGCCCAAAACGCTGATTGTCGCAGCATACATGGTAGAGTCTGCAGTCAAACCATGTGCTGGCAGGCTTGCCAAACAAGTCAATGCAGCTTGCCATGCCGCTGCATCCCTGCATGCTGTGGCAGCCATGGTGCACGAAGCGATGCTGCATGGGATCCGCAGGTTTACTGCGGTCGCAAGAAGCAATAATGCCATCTGCCATCTTGCAAGCCGGCTGCAAGCAGCAATGGCGAGTTGGAGATGCGCAGAATCCGGAGCGATAGCAGCACGGTTCAAGCTTCCAAATAGACTCAAAACCATGTCCCACTCTTGGCACCGATCGCAAGCACTCATGCAGATCCCGAAAGCTCTCCTCCAAGCTGCTGCATCCGATTCTTGCCCGAGTGGCGAAGTCGCCAGAAGCCCAACTGCAACTTGCCATTGAGAGCCGGCATCACAGGCTAACATCGCAGCAGACCAAGACGACAGGTCGGCCTCCACAGAAACCTCAGGGAGCTGCAAGAGTTCGACGGAGTACGACCATTGGCTTGCATCTCCACAGACAAGCATCAGCGCATTGTATGTCACCCGATTCGGCTGCACAAAGCGCATGCACATGTCATCCCACAGCCACAGTGCCGTGGTCCAATGGCCCGTCCCTTCGAGTGCGCCGACAGCGGCATTGTAAATGATCTGATTTGGAACCACGGACTCGCCCACCATTCGGTCTAGCAAGTGCATGGCATGATGCCACTGGCCACCCTCCCCACAAGCACGAATGGCAGCGCCGATCAGCACCTCGTTAAGTCGTATCCGCTCCTTTCCCAGCTGCTTTAAGATTCTCAGAGTGAGAACCCACGGTGATGCCTGCCCGCACGCAGATATCAAGGCAGCTCGCGCAAACGCAGAAATTTCCACGGTGAGGCCCTTCATATCGGCAGCAAGCGCCAGTGCCAGCTCCCACTTGCTCTCGCGCTCTAGGGACGTAGTTAAAGCTCCGTGTGTAAAGGAGTCAGGAAGCAGATGGTGCGCCTGCATCTTTTCCAGTAGCTGCAGTGCTACTTTCCACCCCTCCGCATGCCGGCACGCCGATATAGCTGCATTGAATGTAATGACATCTGGGCTCACTGTCCTTTCCATCTTTCCAAGCAAGCACAACACCCATGGCCAGGGCTTTGACTTCTCATTGATCGCAGCACTGAAGGATATTGCATCAGGAGGCAACAGATGCTCTGCCATACAAGACAGATGGCTCAAGGCATGGATCCAGGAACTTCCTTTCTCGCAGGCGCTCAAAGCAGCATTCGACGTAATGCAATTGGACTGAACCTGCCATGCCTTCATCTGTGCCAGCAGTGCCATGGCATGCTGCCACTGCCCGGCCCGCGCAAGGCAGCTGAGAGCTCCGCCGCATGTGATCACATCCGGAGTGCTCTGGCTCGCGCCTCTGAGAAGCAGCGGAAACACAGTTGACAAGAGTTCATGATCACAGCACTTTGTCATGTCCCCTTTCCAGGGCCCTCTAAAGAGGGCCCTCTTAAGTCCAGGGGCTCAGCGCAGACAGGATGACCACAGCAGACTGCCAGGCAGCGAGTCTTCTGCAGGCTTTTAAGGCAGCTGAAAAAGAGGCCTTGCCAGGGAAGTGTCATCGCTTGCAAGCGGTTTGGACTGAGAGCATGTCAACCTAAATAACTCTCCTTGCAGGTATCAGAGCAGCACCTGTTTCTTTCAAGTCCTTCGCCTGCTATCTAGATCCAGCTCTACCGTAGTCTTGTTGAAGTTTGAGGGAGTGTGTAAATGGGCACAATTGAAGAAGAGACATCCAGACACTCATACCCAAACACGCAGCAGTCTGACACTAAACGTCCTACACCCGAAAGTGTCTGTCGTAATATCTGCCTGCCCATCGTGAAAATCCTTTATCAGAGCCACCGATGGTAATCAATGTGGCCGGTCATGTAGCAAGACACAGCAGGACTTAGCTTACGGATGATGAGCCAAGGGAACCAGGTCGTTGTCTTGATATTCACGACCTCAGGAAGATGATACTTGTCAAAAATCGGTGCTCTTGTTGGCAAAAAGGCTGGCAAAACCCTAAAGGCCTGATCGGCTTCGACTGCAGAGGCAAGGCTTTCTTGCAGGAGGGCCATCGTGCGCTCCATGCCTTCATGCTTGGAGGCACGGATGGCATCCGCTAAATTAGACATCTCTGATATGCCCGCGCAATGAGCGCGGTCTTGAGAGGCAAGTGCCGCAGAGTCCTATGTCCGAGTGCACAGCACGGTCCATCGTCACGTGCGAGCTGCGCAGACTCAATGCATGATGGATGCAGAACTTCGTAATCCGACAGACTTGACACGGGCCGCTCTTCTCACATTGAACCATGCTCCAGGCACAACCTGCAAGTACAGGGAACCTCTGGCTGCTGCCCAAGCTCCTGATGATTTCAACAACAAAGGCTGACGGCATGCCAGCATTCTGCGTTGTGCATACCGGCATCACATCTGTTGAAGGATGAGGAATGAGGAGACTAAGTAAGTTTATTTTGTTACTTGTAACCCCAGTTGAAACATACCTCATCAAACTTACGAAGTCCCATGGTCGTACGGCTGATTCGCACTGCCCCATTTTTCTGGAATGCCTCGCGCCATGTCGGCGACTCTGCGGTCACGGGCCTGCCAACTCATCACCTGCAAATTCCAGTTATCAGATTTAGGGCTTAGGGTGTTCTTTTCGCTTTTTTTTCGAGTAGCTTCTCCTAGCGTCTCCATCAAGAAGGCCTAATTAATTGAGGCAGGCTGATTATGGCACCTTGGGCTTAGGATTTAGGGCTTCCAGTTCAGGGCTGCTTAGAGTTTAAGGCACAATGCTTCAAGCTTCTATGTCTGTCGATTGTCAGCTTCAGGCTCTACTCATGTGGGGATGTGCTTGGCTTACGCTCGTCCAGGCACTCAAATTCGTCCGATCTACACTCCGCCTTTGGATGACATCTAAGTCGAGTTTGCCTTTGCTCAGCGCGAGCCATGCAAGCAATTTCTGCATTGCGCTGGACCGAAGATCACTTACGCCGCAGGGACGTTTTGCCTTTCAACTGCCTAAAATGCGAATGCACTGGAACTCACTGCTGCCTTGGGTGAAAGCCAGCGTGTCAAGCGCTGGATGCTGTGGCCTGACACTGAATGTGCAATCTCCTACAGACAGCCTTGCAACCCCCAACAATCCGGTAATGGGCTGCCCAAACTCCGACTCTGGGGGTTCGCGCGCCTCCGGGTGAGCGCGGAGAAAATCCTCACACACATCGCAAAACAGGTGTGGGAATTCCTGCGTAGTCTCTAGAGCCGCTCACCGACAGACGAGTGGGAGTTGTGAGCATTGCAGCCCCAATGAAAGGATGCCAGCTTCATCAACGGCCTGGCCTGCGTCTCATCTGCGAGCTGCCCCTGCAGACATAATTTTGGAAGCGTTGGGGAGAGCTTCTGCTTTGTGTCACACCCTGCCTAGAGCACATGAGCAGATGTGAGCGCAGCCATATCCGGACTTCCATGCAGAGGCCTGAAGCGGGTCACTGCCACCTTGCTGTCTCCTTGGTCCACGGCTGTCGTAGCACTGGCCAGGTCTCTGGAGTATGCTTCTTGCACTAGCACAACACCCAGCCCCTCCTCGCTCCCACAGGCCCGAGACCCCGAGACTACTTAGATGTTCTGTTGCAAGTTGCATACAGGACAAGATAGAAAAACAAAACATGCATAATCTATAGCATGCAGCTAAACAGCTTACTTTGGACTACCGAATATATGCAATATATTGTGCAGTATATTGTGTTATACTATATACTGTATCATTTATACCATACATTATATACTGTAGGTGTTATGAATTCAGAAGGCCACAAGTCACGTGTTGCGCATCATATACTACATATTATGTATGACATTAAAATGTTATCTATATTGCATATTCTATTTAAAAACAGCATTTTCTGTTATACATTTTATGTTATATATATATATATGAAATATTATATATTGCATGATACATAGTAGGCATAAAAGCTAGATGTTACATATTATATAGTGTGTGTATACATATAGTATTGATTATTGTACATATTACCGATCATCTGTTCTCTATCAGCAGCAGCAGGAGTAGTAGTGGCGGAGGTGATGGTGGTTTTTGGTGGTAGTAGTAGCAGTAGTAGTAGTAGTTGTTGTTGTTGTTGCTGTTGCTGTTGCTGTTGCTGTTGCTGTTGCTGTTGCTGTTGCTGTTGTTGTTGTTAATGTTGTTGGTGTTGTTGGTGTTGTTGGTGTTGTTCGTTGCTCGTGGTTCGTGTCTCGTTGCTCGTTGTTTGTTGTTTGTTGCTTGTTGTTTGTTGTGTATTGTGTGTTCTGTGTTCTGTGTTGTGTGTTGTGTGTTGTTTGTTGTTTGTTGTTGGTTGTTTGTTGTTGGTTGTTTGTTGTTTGTTGTTTGTTGTTTGTTGTTTGTTGTTTGTTGTTTGTTGTTGTTGTTTGTTGTTTGTTGTTGTTGTTGTTGTTGTCATTTACTGACTCGAACTACGCAATCCGACACTCAAGGCTGGGTAAGTCCAGGATGGCTGGGTTGACAAGTGCTTCGAGAGATCATGTTCCCACCTTCCTGCCGGTGTGCCTATCTGCTAGACAGAGGTTGGGCCATGAAAGCATGTGAAGCCACCACTTAACATTTCCACTGTTTGGTTCTTCCCAAGGAGCCCACGGAAGATGCGGCGCCGCCCTTGGAGGCGCGGAGACGCCAGGAGCCGAGTCCTGCACAATATGGAATCAGATGGAGACCATCGCGACAATTTCCGAGGTTCTCGAAGCGAGCAGGACGGGGGAGCCTTGTTCCCAAACGATCTTCCGGTTTGGCACACCTGGTTTCTGGGGTCAGCCAGCGGACAGGTCTGCTCTTCATGGCCATGTGGTTGTATATGACGTTGTGGGTTGTATATATACCGCGGGGCTCCGCGAAGCACAAGTCCAGAACATACTGTAGTCACGCGCCTTGAAACGACCAGGACTCCGACCAGAAGCCTGCAAACATCGCCACAAGAGCGAAGGTCTCTCAGAAGTGTGTTGGTTCACTTAATGTCATCTCGCGATTCGTATCCTTGCCGGCTGCCGGGTGATTTGTAGCAGCCTCCCAAGTTCCAAGAAGCCTGGACCAGGCAAAGCCGAAACCTAAAGCCTGGGGGTTGCCGCCACCGCTTTCGGGCAAGAAGAAGGCCAAGGAGGCAGGTCGCTGCATTCCCTTCGCCTGTCCAGACTGTCAGTTTCAAGCCTCCCATCCCCGAAACCTGAAAGCTGAAACAAGGCAGAAAGCCCTACAGCCTCAACCTCCCCCTCCAAAGGACCTGAAGCTCTGAACCTCCAGCCACCACAGTGAAAGGCAGATGCGAAGCCACCCCGGGAACCTGACGTGGAGGCACCCCCTCCCGAGGCTCGTCGGGATCAGGGGGATTCAGACTGGGACATCAGGTTGATGAGAGCGTCAGAGCAAGGTTTGGACAGACAAGCTCATCAAACTTTTTGCGCTGAGGTAGAGGCGCATGTGACATGGCGTTGTGTTGCATAATTTCACACACATATCATGCATTGCCATTCGAGTTTCAATTCGCAGGACTCCATCCGAAACCCTGCCCAGAGTTAGCCCAGGCTTCGCCGGAGGTGGAGCAACCGCCACCGCCTTTCTTTGCCGGGCCGGCGATGTCTTGGTGTCACTGTGGTTTCAGACTTCATGGACATGTAGTGGGCCTTTGCGGCTTCAAGCTGCAGGTGCGTATTTGTTTGCAAGAGGGAGTAGTTTTCAGTTTTAAACAGTATTTAGTATGAGTAGTAGTGAAAAGGTTGTGGGCAATATCTGTTATGATGATTCGTCTTTGAAGGGGTTGTAACTTATAGTATATAGTGAAAAGCTTGTAGCCAATCTTTGCACCATTGTCCTTACTCGATCTTTCTCTGGGGGTAGCATGATTTTCAGACTTGGAAGGTTCTTTCGGGATAGCTGATCCAGATTTGGAAGATTGTTTTGGCTGACTGATGTAGATTTGTGGTTTTCCGAGTCCGGATCTTGTGGAGGAAATGCAGCAAAGGTTCATTTCGCGGCAGCGAAGAGCTTCATGAAGTCATTGCCTAAAATGTGAGACCATGCCCGAGGCAGATGCGGTTTTGATATCACAATAAAAAGTCTGCGTCTACGTTGTTTTGCAATGGGTTACTGATGCAAAGGCAAGGTCAAGGGGCAGCCCTCGCATCCTCCGGAGCGAACGCTGAATCCCTGACCTGAATGCCGCTTCTGTAACTGCCAGGACCAGTGGCTGGCGAGCCTGAAGTTCATTGCTGGGTGGAACGATCAGTCGTTGGCTTGGTGATGTGTGGCAGGGTGCAAGTCCAGCCGAGGGGCGGCATGTCGAGATCTGTGCCTGGTAGAAATTCTCGAGACAGCACCCGAACACCGGAAGCCTCGCCAATCCCCAAGCACGAACCCTGGCCTAGGAAGAAGTACGAGGCCTCTCAGGCTCATGCGGGGGGTGCCTGTGCCATTTCGTGATTCATTGAATTTGCTGACAGTGGTTGGCATCTCTTTTCTTGGCAGCTTGGCGAGGGTTGTCTTGCCAGGTTAAGGAAGCCTTCAGCGAGTATCTGGCCACGGAGGAGCCTTCATCGGTGCTCTGTTGTGCTCCAGTGTCGCTCGGATGTTTTGCAGTACAAACAGTCAGATTCATTAGAGCCCGACATCCTCCATGAGGACATCGTCGGCAAGACCACGGTGGAGCAGCTGTGTAGAACGATCGCCATTGGCTGAGCTACGTTCATTTGACGGTTTCTGGCTGTGGCCCCTGTTGCCAACCCTCTCAACTTTAGCCCGTCGTGACGAGACACCCAAGGTTCCACTCCTGCTGGACTTGGAGAGGGTTGACACCATGGTCGTTGCGAACCTGAAGACAGAGGCATAAATCGGATTTTGCCATTGACTGATGATGTGCAGCTTCCGCATTGTGGCTTGCCAGACAGTTCAACATTCGGATACCTTGAGAGGTCCTGAAAACACTGAAGATCGTGCAGGCTCACGGGCGACCGGCAGTTTCAGGGCAATCACACTTTATGGCTTTGCCAAATTGGCATCAGTTGCGAGGCAGTCGACAGCCTGTCAGGTAGCTTCTTTACAACATATGGAGGTTAGCAAAGGACCATGTGCCGGATAAATGGGTGCGCTATGCGGCAGTGCGCTGTTCATGGAGTTTTTTCGCCCTGACTACTTACTGTGGTGACCTGGCACGAGACTCTTGGACTCATGAGAGTGATGGCGTCAGGTGTGCATCCTGCGCATAGTCACCTTCGAAATGCTGCGAGAAGCTTCAGCAAAGGCGCACAGCATGCTAGCCGTCTCCTGCAAAGCACAACATGACACATTCTGGGCAATGTACGTTGTCACCGTGTTTCTGATTCGTTTGGGCTGCCACTGCTCCTTCTCGTGCCTTGAGCCGCCACTCGGCTCAAGGAATGTTCAGGATCCTGTTCTCGTTCTCCCATCTGTGGCTCTTCGGTCGTCTCCGAAATGCTCACCGCAAAAAGCCGTGATCTCGTAGGAATTCTGCCAGGCCGATGCTGTGCAGAAGAAGGGTCCCAAGGGCAAGAAGGCCGGGGAGTTTCGGGTGAAATAATTCTGGAGTGATGAACTTTGCATTTGGGGCCTTTGGGAGGGAAGATGTGTTGGTTTCGGAACTCCGGTGGTGCTGTCAGTCACCTGTCAGTGAACCTTGAGGCCATAGGAACATGCAAACGCCGTTCCAGCTCCCAACCCAGGTCCAACCTGAAGTGCCTCCAGAGGGTGCCGCGTGCCGCCCCCTAATCAGGGTTTTGAGGACCGGAGTGTAGGGGGCCATCGCAGGATACAGGAGCGGCCGTCACCAGGTCGTGCACAAGCTAGAGTATTGGTACATATTGCAGGCAAGCTTTAATCGTTTATGGTACAAGTAGTTGCTGTGGTGATGTATCGCAGAGCCCTTCCCAGCTGCCTCGCAGTGTAGTGCCCGACTGGTGATTTTAGATGTTCTTGAAGCTTTGAGGTACCTCGCGAGTGACATCACCTCCCTGGCCAAGGCTGGAGCGTTTTTCGTATTGATGTGGCTCGACGTGCAGGGCTTCAGACACGCTCGCCTCATGCCCAGCCAACCTTCGCCAGGTCATTCAGCACTTTCGCTTTGACCAAAATTTTTCCAAAGGAGTGCGGCGGCCTGAGCAGTGCGAGCTTAGAAAAAAGCTCATCAGCAGAAAGAGGCGTAGTTGGCGCCAAACTGCGAAGCAGTCCCAGGCATGAGCTCATCGTCGCTTTCCGGAAGCAAAAGGCGGACAAGCCCCGACAAGAGAAAGGCCCGGGGCCTGAGCTGAGAGAGGAAGCTTTAGCAGGCCGTGCTGTCGTGGTGTTAGCAGTACCTTGTGGCTTTGCCCTTCCTCGTCTTGACAATTGCGAGAGTCCTGCCGTCGTCTTATCAAGAGGTACCGACAGACTTTCCTTTTTCAGGATGCTCCCCAACAACCGTAAACACCACTGCCGGCATTGCAGAGCTTTTCCACTGATGCCGTGCGATATGCGCAAGCAGCCACCGTTGCTTTCTTGCATGTCACCAACCTACTACTTGTACTCGGCTCGGCTGCATTGGACAGATGGGACGGTGACGCCGGTGTTGCACCCTTCGGCTAGTTTGGAACGTCACACGGCTTGGATGCTTGCAGAAGGATCTGTTTAAAGCAGCGTGCGCGCGAAGCATGCTCAAACAACCAGCACGTCCCCGTGCCAATCACGAGGCCATGAACTCCAAGGTTTATGCAGGGCTCAAGCCGGTTTCGTCACATTAGTTGTATTCTCCCAGTCTGCCTGTTAGACAGTTCCCTCAAACACCGCTCGCTGCTTCGCACAGGCGCCACCAAGGCCCCGCCGCCCAAAAAGCGGCGCGTGGAGGCCGAAGCGACCGACAAGGCCGAGGCGCCACGTGGCCTTGCCGCTGTTGTTGTACGAGGATGATCGTCATCATCATCATCATCACCACCGTCATCATCATCTTCATCATCTTCATCACCATGTTCATCATCTTCATCATCTTCATCATCTTCACCATCATCATCGTCATCATCATCCTCACCATGCGCACCATCCTCACCATCCTCGCCATCCTCAATCCTCACCATTCTCAGCACCATCACCGCCACCGCCAGCGCCAGCACCAAGCATCAAGCACCAAGCACCACGCACCGGCACTGGCACCGGCACCACCACCAGCACCAGCACCAGAACCAGAACCAGCACCAGCACCATCACCATCAGCATCCCCGCCACCACCGCCACCACCGCCACTACCGCCACCACCGCCACCACCGCCACCACCGCCACCGCCACACCGCCGCCGTCGCCGCCGCCCCCACCACCACCCACACTGCCACCACCACCACCACCGCCGCCACCACCACCACCACCACCACCATCATCACCTTGCTGGGGCTTCGGAGCCACGATGGCGGCAGTTTTCCAAGGTTTCCGATATGCTGAGCTGTCAAGGCGCCGGAGAAAGTGCAGGCGACGGAGAAAGTGCAGGCGACGGAGAAGCTGCAAGCGCCGGAGAAGGCGCCAGCAGAAGCGAAGGCGCCAGCGGAAGAGAAGGTGCCGGCGCCAGAGAAGGACACGGTCCCGGACAAGGCGCAAGCGCCAGAGAACGCGCAGGCAGCAGATAAGGACCAGGCGCCGGAGAAAGCCGAGCTGCCGGAGAATATGGCGCGAGAAGGAGGACGGCAGTGTCTTGCGAGTGTGTCTGTGTCTTGCACGCCGTCATTCTTTGAGAATAGCGAGTCGGACATGTCAACGGATCAGCGCAGGGTGACGAAGAAACTGAGGATCTGCTGGGCCGTAACAGCATCAAGAGTGGGTCTGGGCAGATACTGCGAAGGGGAGGCATTCGGGGCGGAGCGCATAGGCCTCGCATAGGACAAGAGTCCTCAGTAGCCACGGGGTTGCTTCGACTCTTGAAGGAGAGCCGCCACCTGCTGCGGAGGAGGAGAATGCTGACCAGGCTCGGAGTTTATGGGTACGGGTCGTGTTCCGAGACGAAGTTGCATCGTTTGCCTTGGACTTGCAAGTGCTGCTTTGGCTAAAGGTGCTCATTCCGTAGCACTGTCTCGCTGACCTCTTGACCTGTTCTCGGTAAGCCTCTTGTAAGCCTCAAAAAGAAACAACAGCACGCTTCGGACAACCGTAAATTGTAGGCACCAGGCAGTTGCAAGCCTGAATGAAACCAAAGTTGCAAGTCCTCAAAGCTTCTTTTGTTGCTGTTCTTTTTCATTCATTCCTGTGGCCGTTTGCTTGGCTCCACGACGTGTAGAAGCATCATCGCAGTCTGTTGTGAGCTTCAGGAAGGCGAGGGCGATGCAGGTGGCGAGCCTGGGTCTCAGCTGCTCCATAGTTCTAGCAGGAAGCTTAAGTCAGCTTGAGGTGTTTTCAGCCCTAGCAGCACAGCCCCGAGAACCAATTCACTGCATTGTGATTGTGAGGTGTTTTAGTTCATCTTAGCTGTAATCGAGTTTGTTCAGCATGGTTTACCATGATTCGCAGACTGCGCTGAATGAGCTCGTTGTCAGCATGATTGAGACTATTTCTGACATCACCTCCATACCGCATTCCTATACGTTGTCGTTGCTTTCTCATTGTATGTTCTTACATACACGCAGCACTCAAGTATACAGAGTCGCACTGACATATATCGTCTGTTGATGCGCTCAGCCTCAGCCTGTGTTGCATGTCTTCAATGACCACAGGGACTGCTTGCCAAGGCCTGCACGGAAGAAGCCTCGACTCGTTTCCTGATGCTGCACTCGTGCGACGTAGTGGTGTCTAACTTAGGACAAGCAAGAGAAAGTTGTACATGTCGCGCAATCTGACACAAGCAACTGGTCACAGGATGTGAAGCAACAATCGCGGTCATCGTGTTAGCGGCTCCCGCATCGATCTTTGTGAGACGGCACAGGGCTATGTCGACTCCCAGCTTTAGGCCCTATAGTTCCACAACATTCTAAGATTGAAATTCCCGAGTCACCATAGCCTTCGAAGAAAATCCTCTCACGAGCTGTCGAAGCGCGGGAGCTGAGTTTCATCCCCTGCTCTTGTCTTGTGCAGCTGAGACCAAGTTCAGGAGCATGTCAGGGCTCTGGTTTCGGGTTTAGCTTTGTGCTTCCTTTTCGTAGCGCCAGATACCAGAGAGGGCAACGGGAAAACCACGGTGAGGGTGATAGTCATATGCAGTGCGGTCTACATGGTCTGTAGCTAGTCTGATTCAGGTGTCGGAAGTAATCAATGGTGTTTAATTGGCTTTGCTTGCTGGTCCCAGATGCACTCATCAAGGGCGCGCGGACGCGGAGCAACCCGCAAGGGGGTTTAGAAAAATCTGCGCCTGCAAATCGAAGTTGAGAGGGAGGTTTGTTGTTGTATGCACGGTTTGTGAGTCGCTTGCAAAACTTGACGAGAATGCACAGCGCACGCCTTAATTATTTTCAGGGCTCAGGAAGGTTCCATGCTTTGGAGAAGGATAAAGAAGCTCGGGCCACATGTGTGCCGAGCATGGCAATCATTCAAGATTGGCCATGGGTCTCAGTGCCAGAGGCTACAAGTTTGACTCTCCTTTCTTTCTTTGGCTGCTCCTTTTGCTAGTTCCCTCCCATGATCACCCTGCTGCAGACTTGCATCAACGACCTGTGGCCATGACTCTTGTGGCTACTTGGGTTTCTCAGTGACTTTGGGGCTTTCTGTGTGGCTCTCGCTTACGCCACAAGCTTCAAACCATTGTGAATTTTGTATGTGTGGGTCTAGGTTGATTTTTTTTTCGCAGCCCGTTGCTGGCAGAGGATGAGGGGGAAGTGGCAGATGTTGATGCAACCTCGCGCCTTCATGCCCTTCTTGGAGCCCACCGTCTGGAGCAACTTGCTAACAGGACGCCAATGCGAGACCACCCCGTCGTGGACAAGACGGACAACGTGTATCATTTGCAGAGACCTGGGACCTGCCGAGCTTTCCACTCGGCAGCGGTCGGCGCCAGCTTTACGCCGCATGGAGTAGAGCCACCTCCCCACTGAAGCCCACTGCAGGAGGGAAAAGCGCAGTGCAGCATGCAGCGCAAGGAACCGTATCAGGAACCGATCCAAAAAGCCGAAGCTTTTGCCCCTCTCACCGACTTCCCCATGCCGAACGGAGATGCAGATCTCTGATGTACTTAGCTCAAACGCTTGTTCTAGGGCCGATTCCACCATTGAGATCTGAATAGACAAGCTTCTTTACATGGCCAAGCATTTCCATGTTTAGCTCCGTTGCTTTGATTGTGCTGAACCTCAAGCTGCAAAGCTGTCCGGTTCACAGTGTGAGTGTGCCGCTGCTTTGCCTTCCATCCAGGCAGGACCGTCTCGCCGTGCTCAGTCCAAAATCCACCACTTGAGGTTGTGATGCTCTGTGAAGTTTCTGCCCGAATCTGGTGTTTGTTGACCCTCGCAGTCATACTTCCCAAGTATTGCCTTTGACTTCAATTTCAAGGCTGCACAGGGGGTCGGAAGAGCATTATTTTTTTCTCGAGGTTCATGTCGAAGTGCATGGAACGGCAACGGACTAGCCTTGCACGCAAGGTTGGCCTTTGCCCCTTTGATCACCGGGCATGGCTCAGCGTCTCGGCCGTGTTGGCAACAGCTTCGCAGTGGATGCGGCAGAAAGCTCCTAAGGATAGTGTGTTCGTTTCTGCCTGTAGGGGCAGCGGCTTGCTCAGGCCTGATAGCAGCCGTGCACGGGCCAAGTCGATCGGGCACTATATTCTAGGCGGGGCTTTGGCTTGCATGGACCGTGTTTCAGCTGCTGCACTACGACTAGTATAAGCTGCTTCGAGAGAAGTCCTTAGATTCAGGACTCTTTCGATATGTCATGTCTGCCGAATCTGCGAAATTAAGCCGGGAGCACTGGAAGTAGGACAGAAGACAGCCCATCCGTCCCGAAGAGAGGCCTAGGCTAGGCCTTTTGTTCAGACAGTTCACTTCTCGAAGCTGTCGGGTCTCGAAGCCCTTGAGCTTGCACGCCTCAAACTCAGACCTTACCTCAACAGCCTCCCGGTACGCAGGAAAGACGATTGGCGAAGGCACCTTCGGAAAGGCACCGACCTCAGAAATCCCACAACATTCCGCGGATATTCTCAAAGAGCCGATTCATGCTGGGTGAGAGAGAGCGCGGGCTTCAACCGTTCTTAGCAACTAAGCCTGAGCGATCCATCTGATCTTATCCGACCTACATCTGCAGGTCAAGCTTGGAACCCACATCTTGACCTCGGAGCGTGTAGCCGTCAAAGCTGGAGCCTCATTTGGTTCCTCACTCTCACACTTCGGCGTGTAAGAAGGTGGTTTAGAACCATTTGTCAACCCAACCTGCCGAGATATGCACATCATGGGAACTTCAGATGAAATAGTTCTTCTGCCTCCATCGCCTCACTAAGCCATCCAACCTCTGCGTGATCACTCGTGCTGAACTTCGGGTTTGTCTTCCAGCCATAGTGCGCGCCCAGATTCTCGAGAAGGAGCGGATCGTTGAAGTGGCAGATGTGGAACGGGTTGCTCGTGAGGCATGGTGATTTTGCCTGGTTGCAGTAAAAGGGGTCGAAGCACTTTTCCATTCGCTGACCTTGGAGCTGGTGTGCCAGTTGCTGCCGGTTCGGATTACTCGTCAGCCCGCTGACAGGTGCATATTTTGAAGCTAATCCGGCACCCCCACATCGCCAGACCCCCGGACTTCCATGATTGTGAGGGTCCAGTTCTTGTGTGTTTCTCGGCTTCTTGTGGCTACTTCAACAAGAGGGCTGCACTTGTAGCTCCACACGATTCGGGTGATTCCTGTTGTGCATTCTAGCCGCTCATGCAAGTCCACGTCAAGCTGCACAGCCGTGCCAGATGCTACTGTAGCACCTTCATCCGTGGATCACTTGTCAGGTGCAGCTGTATGAGATCATTGAGACGCGCCGTCAACTATATCTCATCATGGAGTGCGCACTTGAAGCTTGTCACTTGTGGAAGTGTGCCCGGGACAAACCGGGAAGTAGTCGAAAACTTTCTTCGCCTCGATGCGGGCGGAGGTACGCAAGCGGTGGAGAGCTCTTCGATTACATCGTTGCCAGGGGGCGCGTGCCTGAACCAGAGGCGTGCAACCCATGCAGGGCAGCACTATGCAGAGCTCTTGCCAAGAACAACCCACATGGTGGTTGCCCGGCTCAAAGCAGTCTGGCCGAACAGGCATGCCGCTTCTTCCATCAAATCATCGCTGGTCTCGAGAAGGCCGTGTGGGAGCACACGGGGCCAGTTAGAATGGTGCAGCGGTGCAGTTCGTTTTAGTTCGCATCAAGTCGGGTTTGGGGTCACTCGCCCTCACTGTGTTTCCGGACATGACCCACACGATCTGGTGGAGAGGTTCACGCCATGAATATCGTGCATCGGGACCTCAAGTCGCGCACTCGGTCAGACCCGGTCGGAGTTCACGGATGAGGTTTGGGGATCCAGGTAGGAAGGGACAGGAACTGGCGGCTCCTTTTGTTCATTCGGCGTCACCGCCAAAATTGACTGATCCAGTGAGCCTTGAGCCTTTGCGCACCTGCGGAGGCCCGAGAACCTTCTCCTGGACGAGCACAATAATATCAAGATCGTGGACTTTGGCCTGAGCAACGTCTTCAGGCAGGGTGGCTGATTTTAAGATATGGTAGACCACGTGCACTGACAGTAGCTCGATTCGGCTCTGCAGGCAAGGCCAACTGCTCAAGACCGCCTGTGGATCTCCGTGCTATGCCGCTCCAGAAATGATTGCAGGCCTGGTTTGGGATTCCCTGAGTCTCCAACTACTGGTAGTCGGGATGGCCAGGGGACGCGCGATTTGAGTTGCTTGCTCTTTCTTGTGCCGGACAGCCTGTCAGGCCACAGCTATGCCGTGTCCCAAGGATGCCTATTCCGCTCGCCTGCTTCGCAGCTCATGGTCTAGGTTTGCGTAGGTTGTGATCTCAACTCACTCTCCGGGCACTGGAGTCCGACTGAAGAATGATACATAATCCAAGCCCTGTGTGTCTCAGAGCAATAGCCCCCGGACAAAGCCCTGTTTCGAAAGGGCTCC